CCATGACCATGAGAACCTACCGATGCTGTGATGTACTATCTGAGCTATTGGAGTAGATAATAAAGATGAACAACAGTTATTGTTAGTTTCAACTTTGACTCCCACTGGAATCCCTTTGGGGAGATTTAAGGGTACCGGTAGAAGGACACCAGTGTCAGACTACTTCAGCCAGGATCTCTTGAGAATGCGCATAAACACCAGTTTCTTCTCCAAAAGATTCTACTGGGGAATCAAGCTGTGAACTACCAATAGAAATTGACCCAAAGGGGGAAAATAAACCCAGAATGATCTCATTGGGGTTGCCTGTCAAAGATCATGAGCTTGAATCTTGCTTAGAAGGAGATGAATATAGATTAACATCTATTGCAGGGACATGAAATGAAAGCAATAGAAGCGAAGAAGTTATGAGTAAAGGAAGGTAGATAAAACTTGAGGAATACAGTACCAGAAGAATGTCAAAACTCAGCACCTGTCTCTTCTCAAATGATGCAGAAAATCAGTGGATTTTTAGCAGAGAAAATCAGCGAGAAATCTTATGAGGCTCCACCTATCCAAAAGAGTATTTATCTAAAAATGAATAGAAGGTTTGCAATTGCTTTGTCAGTGGTCTCTATGTTCATTATCCAGCTAAAGGAGAGTTCACAAAATACAAAAACATTGTGCTTTCTTGTCCTAGCTTTGCTATAGTTTTGGCTGTGAAGGATTGGGTTTGACAGTTTTTTAAAAGATTGTTAGGATCCTGGGTGAAAGGTTGTCTGGGAGTATATGATCATCAAACAACATTCTTCACTGTTATTTGAATCACTACCATTCTTTCTAGAAACGAATCTAGACAAGTGAGAGAAAACAGTACACAGTTTCTCTGTGCAAAACAGTGTCAGTTAGCAGAAAATACAGTGAAAGACAGGGTTAAAAACTAGCTTCCCAAAAAGCTTATGTCATGCAATGCATACAACTGAGATGAGATGCTTCATTTATAATATATCCAGATACAATTTGAAATAATTGATAGGCTGTGGACACAAATGGAATGAATCAGAAGCTTATGACTTTAAATTACTTTGCAGTACTGTGTCATACTGATCTCATAAATACCACCAAGACAAACTTTGAATAATTGAAGATGATCATGAAACAAGTAAAGGCAGAGGGGGCCATTATATCTTAGTAATCAGTAAGGTTGCTTACTGTAATCTCAGCGTATCTGTGTGGAGTTCATGGAATTCATTGTTTTCCTCCCTATTTGGTCATCTATAAGGAACCCATTCATAGACTCTGTGCTTGGTAATCTGCCCCTTTTCATGCCTGTTTGCAGCAGAGTAGTGAGAGAAGATACTATTTTCATAGGTCCAGAGACATGAAAGAGCATAGTCATGGGAAAGTAAGGATTTACTTTGGGATTAGAATCCCAAAGTAATCCCAAAGGGATTTACATGTGGGATTGGAATCCAGGTGTATCTATCTGGAGAAGAGGTAAGAGCCAAAAGAGGAAAAAGTAGGTAGAAACAGGTTAATGTATATTAAAATCATTTTAATGTCATTCTTTAAGTAATGGTTAATTATTGAAGGGACTCAAGATATGCATTTATTTTTGGAAAAAACTTCCTGAGCCCATAGCTGACTAAACCTGGGTCAGTTTTAACAAAATGGATTTTGTTAAAGCAAACCCTACTGAAAGGTTGACATGGTTGGGATGGAAACAGAGGAATGAGTCAAAGAAATACATGAAACTCATTGAAAAGTAGTACATTGAGACTGAGAGGGGAAAGGAACTCAGCTTGATACAGGGTCTCTAGCTATTGGCTGGGAGGTGGTGGTGTGTCATTAACTGCTGGTGGAATCTCAGGAGGGGAAAACATGGGATTCAACAACATTGAACTCACTTTTAGGCTTGTTGAGGGATTAAATGCTCAGGCAGATTAATCTGAAGGGTAGTGAGAATTATAGTTTTAATGTACCATTTTAAAGTCAACTAGCACATAGTGAAGGAGTTTTGTTTATTGTATAAATATGTGAAAAATACATAAAGAGACTATCGAGTGAGGGGGGAAATGGCGTGAAAAGTGCCCAGGAAACATATTTAAGGGCCAGATGATTCTTTAGGTGGATTTTGTTTCTTTTGTATTTTTGAGACAGGGTCTTGCTATGCAATTCAGACTGGCCTTGAGCTCACTTTATAGCCTAGGCTAATCTTGAATTTTCAAGGATCCTTCTGCCTGAGCCTCCTGAGTACTGGGATTATAGGCTTGTGCCACCATGTTTGGCTTGCATATGTTGACTGAAGAGAGAAAAAAAGGGATAGAGGAAAGGAGTGAGGGTTGGAATCAGAAGACCAGGGCAACAGATAGAATACCAAGCATGGACAACAAATGCATGCGACTGAGGGGGTAAAACCACTGAAAACTGCTGATTGAACATAACTGTCAAATCATGGTGTTCCAACAGGTTAAGAGGATAGAAGCCAATTGTAATTGGCCAAAAAGTGAATGGGTTAGAGAACAAGTAAAGCGAAGAGTCAGTGTGCTTTTAAAGGAAGATTTGTGAAAGAAGAGAGGCGGTGTAAGAAGGAACATGGTGTCTGTAAGAAGTTAGAGGAGGATTTGGTGATTTTATTTTAGCTTTAGAGGCACAAAGCAGGGTAGACTGAGCATTATCCTGGCAAATATGCTAATTCCAAAGAAAGCTGATATGGCTGCTGGCCTTGGGTCTGTCAGGTATTCAAAAAGAGCAGTGATAACAGCAGACCTACACTGTGCTGTGTTACAGATACTCCTGTATTTTACCTTTCCTAGAGGCTGGTGACGTTGTTCCTAATATTATCCCCATTTTACTTGGAAGAAAGCCATAGTACAGAGAAGTTAAATAACCTACCCAATTTGCTTTCTACTGGTTACATTAAACACATGCATTAAATCAGCCACCAAAATGATATGTAGGCATGCATGACAGATTTAGAATATTTTTGGTTGAAAAGTGGAAGCCAGAGCCTTGGTGTACACATGGGGTCACTTTTTTTATAAAGGCAAACTCTCCATGGGGTTTGTCTTTTCATATCCTTTAGAAGATGGAGACAATAAAATGATTGTCCCATCAGTGTTACCTGACTCTTAGCCTTGGAAGAAGTGTTAGTAGAAATACCAACCAAGAGCTAGTTTGTGGAGAAAGAACAAAACTAGTCATGAGAATGAAGTTAAAATGTTGGTTAGTAATTCAGGGTGGAAACAGGGTAGAAGGTAGGAGAGTTGATGAGGGAGAGGAAGATGGCATGTATTTCACTGAAATTTATGGATCATGACCACATATGAATGAAACTTGCAATTGCTTTCCTGCAGTTAGTAATAAATCTCATGAAAATGTGGGAGAAACTTTCATATTTGTACTGTATTGCTTATCTTCATGGATATAACTTTCCTTTTTATGCATATCACTCAATGAAGGTAGAGTTATTTTAGAATTGGCATCAGAAATTTGTTGGTCTCTTACCTTGAAATTATTAATGCATCTACCACGGTCCAGGCATAATACCTATTGTTTCAGAGGAAATATCTCATTTTGCTTTCATAAAAGCCCTGAGGAGGTTATTCCCCTTCAGAAAGCTTCAGGAAGCTCAGGCTTGTAGTGTTTTATGCTTAAGGTTACAGAGCTAGCAAGTGACTAAGCCAAGATATGAACAGGGTAGTATTAATTCAAGCTCATGCCCTTAAATCCTCTGCATTACACAAGAAATAAAGGGACCTTAGTCTTGGCATTTCCTTCATAGCTGGCTCAGGGCTACCATGTCCATATATAACTGTAGAAAATCCTATCTTTATGTTCTACTGACCTTAAATAGCTCCTGGGCATGAATATTAGGGGAAAGTTGAACCTAGTAAAAAAAAAAGTAAAATATTATGTCAATGAAGATAGAAAAGCTTCCTATTCTTTATCAGCCCTTTAAATTTTTTTTTAATTTTCTCAGTGTAAAAGAGTTCCAGACTAGTATATGGTTTGGTGTTGTAGATAGATTCGGGGTCAAATTAAAGTGAAGAAAGGATTGCCATGAGGAAGGCTTTTAAGACAGTGACGGTGAATATAACTCTGGGTGATTTTCCTCCACTTTTCAATGTTATGTCTTCCTGATTTCAGTGCTGGAATATAGAAATAAAGATAATCCTGTGACTGATCTCATCTTGTGGAGTTAATAATTTGATGGAGGAGGCAGAAATTATGTAAAGTCACCAAAAAGATTTAATTACTAATGTATTGGATTTTGGCAACTAACAATGATTGGCACATTAGCTCTATGCTCCTAAGTATAAAACTATATGCCCAGTGCATTAAAATAACTCAAGAAGCAAGTCCTAAAAAGTTACTGACTAATAAAATATAATTTGGAATCTAGTAGACAAAAATGGCATATTTTAATATCCTCATTGTCTAAGCATTTATATTGGTCAATCATTACTACATTATGAAATAGACATGAATACTGGTCTGTGTTAGTTTTGATATGGAAACTTTTCCAAATATCCATCGTTGCTCTTTTACGTCTTACGTTTCTGCTTCACTGCCCTGGCCATCTAACAAAGATGTTCTTATGGAAGATCATGAGAGCAGCAACTCTGAACCAGAAGGATCTCCAGATTGGATTTTTTGCCTTATAGTTTTCTTTTTTCAAACCCAAATGAAAACTTATAAAAGATATATTCACGCATCCCATAATAAGGGATTGCCCTTATTAAAACTTTGTTTTGCATTTGCTATTAAAAATTCTTAGGCAAGATTCACTGTAAACCTTAAGCCATGGTAATAAGCTTCCATGAGCTTCGATGAAATTACCCTTTAGCTCCCAACTGTTTACATTTTTGGAGAACTTCATACCCTTATGGATGGTGGAAAAAAAACTGTATTTCTCAGTATTTACACGTGCTGTTCTCTGGCTTACTGATGATACTACTGAATTTTTTATTTCTGATACCGGTATTTTATAAATTCCTGGTCTCCCGCTTGCTTTTCTGCAGGCTCAGTTTGAACTGCAGGCCTTTCACATCCGGGGTGAACATGCAGCCACTACAGCGCGGTTGGAGGAAACCATCGAAAACCTCAAGCTCGAGTTAGAACAGCGGCTGCGAGGAGGGCGCGAGGAGCTACGCGACGCCTGTGTCTGCACCGACGACTGCCCTCCGAAGGCCTACAGAAATGTGTGCATCCAGACGGACAGAGAGTCCTTCCTCAAACCCTGCGAGGGCGAGAGCAAGGCCACCAGAAGCAACCAGATAGTGCCCAAAAAGCTGAACATCTGCTCTCTGAGCCAGCTCTCCCCCACAAATGACAGCAAGGACATCCCCGCGCCGCTTCCCAGTGGGGAAGGCGCCTCACCCGCTCACCCCAAGACTGCGCCCCCTCCTGCCCCGCCCCCGCCGCCCCCACCCCTGCCCATCCCTCCGCCTCCACCCCTGCCGCCTGGACCCCCCGCACCGGCTCCGAGTGCTGGCTCTCCACCGCCCCCTCCGCCGCCTCCACCGCCCCTGCCTCCAAGCGCTGGGCCTCTGCCGCCGCCCCCTCCTCCGCCGCTTCCTAACGCCCAGGCCCTGCTCGGCGGCGGGGGGCCGCCTCCTGCCCCAGCACCCCCGGGACTTGCACCTCCACCTCCGCCTGGACTCTTCTTTGGACTCAGCTCTTCTTCCAGCCAGTACCCTCGAAAACCAGCCATTGAGCCCAGTCTCCCCATGAAGCCTTTGTATTGGACTAGAATACAAATAAGTGATAGGTAAGCTTGTGCTAGCCTGTTCTCATTGGTGAATCCCCAAGTGACATTTCGCTTTTGTCATCATAGCATCTACACAGGCTAGGGCCCATTCTCACCTGGGAGAGGAAATGGATAAAAGGGTCGGCCAGTAGGATTAGGGAGTTGTGTCTCTGCCAGGTCCTCGCTGTATGTGGAAGAAACATTGGGTTGCATTCCACAGGCTCAAGTTGTCTAGGTCTAACCTAAGACCTTCTCCAGTATCAGCCACTGCAACCAATGATTAATTATAAAGAAACTGAGTCCAAACCTATACTCCTGGTTCAACAAGAAGTTGCAGAGTGTATTTCATGATGTGCTTTCTTGTTTTTAGATGGTATTGTTGAGTATTTAGATGGTATTCTTGTTTTTAGATGGTATTCAGCAATGAGCTGAATATTTTACATGTTTTTTTTATTTAAAGGCAGAAACTGCTGAGTTATTAGTTCCTCAGATCTTAAGTCTTAAAATATAAATTTTCTCTGCTTGAACTCTATTTCCTTTAAGCGCTCACACCTTTGCATTTTTATTCCTTGTTGCCCTTCAGAGAAAGGCCTAGTGTTGGACAGCAACAGTGGAAAGCACCTCTCATGTGTCTAAGGGCTGCAGGGTCAGGTCGACAAGGCAGGAGGACATGATGGCTGGAAACTTGCCCTTAGACTGGAGTCTGACTTCTCTGCCGACCCTGTCAGGAGGACAATGAGAACAGTGCTATTGCTTGACCACTTTCTCGTTTTGAACTTTCTTTGTTCACAAAGATCATGTAATAGAAAACATTTCTAAACTCATTCTGCAAGTCAAGATGTGGTGGTGGAGTTTTAAATTGATGTGGTATTTTGCTTAGGGAAGGTGGGCTACTAACGAAACAGTGTGTAATGGGAAATCACTCTAGGAGGAATGGGGAATAACTTAAAACAGAACAGACGGAGCACTAAGTTGTTAATATACTTCACTCTGTCCCTTTTCCTCCCATCAGGAAGTAAAGGCTGGGAGTTTACTTGTAGAGTATCCCAGTATATATGTCTGGATGCTGATGCTGTGTAATTTCCCTAGTGAAATCGCCCCTACCATTAACAGAAGTGCTGATACTCTCCCTTCCTATTCACAATTCAGGTGTTTAATAAGAAACAGTTTCCTAAGATATCTCCTTTGAGTTGTGTTCCTTTATTACTGCTTTCACATTACTGAGCAGTCCTTCAGGGGGATGAGTCCCCCTCTCGGCCCTGGCGCACTGTGTTCTGGCACAGCATGAGCTGCTTCACACCTGTGTCTCATCCCACTTCATCCCCCAAGAGACTTTATGGGCAACCATTGTCATAGTCTCTAGTGGCCTAACAGTCCCGTGGGAGATACAGCCCGGGGCTTCCTCTTCCAGGTGGGATATAGGCAGACAAGGGACATTCACTCCCTGCAGTGTTTCTCTTTCTTGTGCAGTTAGCCATTTTGAGAAGAAAAATAGTTGACTGCTTCAGGCCTCCTTAGTCTCTGTAAATCTAGGACTTCCCTTGGAGTGAAATGAAGTCACTGAGTGGGATGCCAGCCGAACCTTGCTCAGTGAGTGTATCCGCTCGGAACCTGAGCTCTTTGGTGTGTGTGTGGGGAGTGCCCTCAATGAGTTAAGACCCCAGCATGGCCGCTTCTTGCCAGGACCACACAGTCTCTTTCAGCTTGCTTGGGTTCCTCAAAATATTTTATATTCTTGAGTACAATTACTGCACTTATTTTCAGTAAAATCACAGTGGAACTTTGCTTCAGGAATCCTTTTGTTTGTGAACAGTTTGGTCCATAAAAAAGTGTTTTGTTTTTGTATGTGAACTCTGTATTCTGCATCAGGTGTGCGATTGAGACCATCTTCTAGAACTGTGGAATGAATTACGTTTGTGAACCGAGGTACCGCTGTAATTTAAAGAACCTGTGTAGTAGTTATTGATGATCAGAATTACACAGAATGTGATTCTATAACAGAGGTAAATTGCTATTTTAATAACCTAACAGGTAAACACTTTATATAAGGCATACATGATAAATTTTGGTGCATCTGAGGAACCAAGAGCAAAATGTGATTGGCTCTTGTGCTCTGACCTTGAAAGATTGCTTTTCACTGCTAGCTTCTTCTGTTGCAGTTTGGTCACCTTTGGTATCCGTTTCATGATTTCTAGAAAAGGGACATCTCATTAAAGCAAAGGAAGTCATCATCTAATTCCCTTCTCAGCTTCCTAGTAAGTTTCTTCTTCTCACCTTCGTTTCCTGTTTTCATCCCTTCAGCTAGAGCTGTGTGTTCAAACCACAACACAGCTGAGCATTCCAGCAGGTCATTCACTGTGAGCAAATTCTTATTACTCCTCTATCAAATGCCACCTGTCTCCAACTCTCTGGGAGTAGATCTTCTAAAATTCATTTATCCAGAATTGGGAATGCCATTCCCACAGAAATGATGTGAAAATGGTTTTCACCTTGACTCCCGAATGAAATTGACACCAGTGTTCATTATCCTGGCCAGGCCTCTGGGTTCCTGGTGCTGGAACAGGAGAGCAGGTGCTGGAATGAGTTTGAGCTGTTTGCTGGACCACGGTATTATTTCCTTCTGGAAACCTCCTTCTGAGTTGCCTGGATTCCTCCTGAGGCCTAGAAAGTGGCCCTTAACAAGCTGTGTGCTCCAAAATGCCTGGTGGTCTTTGCCAAGCTCTGTCATCCTTTTTCAATGCAGCTGAGAGGAGCACATAACAAAATAGTGTCTGTGTTTCAAGCTGAACTTAGTTGAATGACAGAAGACTATGCCTGAGGAAGGTTCATGTCACAGATGGACACACTTCGTCAGGGCTGTTCTAGCCTTGGGTTGGTCAGGGGCTTCCCACGTGTTCTTCATACTGTTTTACTTTGTATCTTACATACATCATGCATGTACGACTGAGTGGTTCAAACATTATAGTAGAAAAATTATATGTAAAAAAAGCAACAAAAGGTGGAGAGAACTAAATATGGCCAGAACCAAAAGAATGGAAAAAACAGACCTAGCAAAATATAAATAGGCAGCCCTGAAAAGCCAATTTTGCCACCTCTTTTGAATATGAAAATTGCCTTGTATGAAAACATTTAATAGTATCATAAATATACTTATTACTTATGATATTACATGTTATACTTAATAGTAGTTTTAATTTTCAGGTACAGAAAATATGTATGAAACATAAGTAAATACTTCATAGGTGTTACAGATCATAACACACACATATGTGAAAAACAGAAGTGTAAATGAGACTTGTGTTTCTGTCTGTGGGCGTTAGAAGGGCACAGAGTTAGGAGAAGCTGAGAAAGGAAGCTTAGGAGGCAGGCACTGGGGGGATGTGCTCTAACTGGGAGAGCCTGGAGAGCAGACCGTGGTTCAGTGGACGCTCAGAGACTGTGCTGATGGACCTGATTGTCAGCAGCTTCTCCTTCTCTGCTTTAGAACAAGGGGGCACCCATTTCTAGAAAGTAAAACACGATGTCCCCATGGCTGCTTTTGTTGAAATCTCAATGGGCTGGTGCCTTGGAGGAGTTTATGTTTGTTGTTGTTTGGGGGTGGGCTGTCATAACTCAGACAGTGGATACTATTCATACATCAAGGGCCAGGAAGAAACATCCAAGCGGACGCAGCCCTTTATCTTCCTACTCCAGTTTCAGTCCCTTGAAGAGTTAGCTCATCCCTGTTTCAGAGTTGGTTGTCTCTTCATTCTTTAGAAGATGTGCGTTTTTGCTCACCAAGGCAATGCCACAGATGGAAAAAGGAGCAGCTGGTGCATCCCAGCAGTGGAAGTCTCAGGATGCCTAAGTACCAGTGGTTTTCTTTACCTTTCTCCGATTATTTCTAATGACCATGGGGATGTACATGTGTGTGCTTATATATTCTATAGTATATTTTGACTTAAACATGTGTACAGTGAAAAGCTTTTCTTCATGTTTATTAGTGTTTTATATATTTTCTTTAAAAATGAAATAGAATGAATTAGAGAAATACTTCACTGTTACAATGTCTTCTGCCTTGGTCCATAAGGTAAACTTGTTTTTTTCTTTTAAGCCAAAATGCTGCACCAACATTATGGGATTCCTTAGAAGAGCCTGACATTCAAGACACTAGTGAATTTGAATATTTATTCTCCAAAGTCACAACTCCACAGAAGAAAAAGCCTCTCTCAGAGACCTATGCAGAAAAAAACAAGGTCAAAAAGGTAAGCAGTGATTATAATAAAAGTTTTAAGTCTATATAAATTTGTGTTATCCATGAGAATTCACTGTATTCTGATAGTTTTTTTCTCTGTGGTCAGAAAGATTTTTGGAGATTTTTGAATCATAGATGGCAAAAAGGAGCCAATAGTTCAATAAAATCTTTATAAGTTATTTTGGTCTCATCTTGTGAATTTTTAAAAATCTAATCTGTACTCTTCTAGTCATTTGTTCTGTTGAAAAAGTAATACTCATTTTCCTATTACTAAAAATAGTTTGTAGATAATATGGGAAAGAAACTTTTAAAAAAAGAAAAATAAATTCCTTCTATCAGTGCATTGATTTAACAAATATTTTTAGGGGAGTAACTATGATGTAGGCCTTGTTTTGGCCTCGTGCTTTACAGTACAGCAACATGTGCCCATTTAAATAATAAAATTAAATAAAATAGGAAATTCAAAACATTAACTGTATTAGTAGTCAGTCAGTGTTCACCAGAGAAACAGATTAATATTAGATGTACATGTGTGGTTTACATGGTTGGCTTAAAATGGCTGCCCGCAAGTCAGATATAAAGAGTACAAAATGGCTGCCCATGTGCTGGGGATCTGAAGCTCCCAGGAGTGTCCCATGTGAGTCTGTATAGAAGGCTGAAGCATCAGCACTGGAAGCCAGGAAACGTTGTCCTAGATGAAGGTGAAGACTCCTCTGAAGAAACAGAATCAAGCTTCCCTTGTTTCCCTTTTATTCCGTTCAGGTTCCAAGCCTACTGGCTGGTGCCACTCATACCCAGGGTGGATCTTTTATCTTCAGTAGGACACAGAAGTATGTTGATCTGATTTATTGGGCATTTCTGACTCACGTGGACACAATCAGTTAACCATCCCAGCTGATCACTTTCAAGTTTTGTGCTCGTGCCTAGTGACGGCTACCATATTGAATAGCACAACAACTAAACATTTCCATCATTATAAAATGCTCTGTTGGGCAGCACTGTCTTTAGTATTTGGAATATGTTAATGAGAAACACACACCCACACACACATACACACAAATATACTCAAAATCACACACTCCTAGGAAGCCTTGGCCTTGCCCCATGGAGTTCATATGAACGATCAACATTGGAACAAGCTATGCGGATCTCATAGAGTGGCCAAGTAAGGAGGCTCTGCTTTGCCAAAATGGGCATGGAGATGATTCTAAATGAAGTTTTCAAAGTAGGCCTCTTAGAAAATCAGCTTCTGAGCAAAGACTCAAGGACTTGGAGGCCGATAGCCACCATCTTCTGTAAGAGGAGTTTAAGATCACGAAGTGGCCAGGTGGATGTGATTTGATTCAAAGACCCCAGGCCCTTGCACTCTCCACACCTTATGCCCTAGACATAGCACAGCATGATGTCCATTGTGGTTTGGATAAGCATCCTCCAAAGGCCCATGGATTAAAAACTTGGCTCCAGGATAGTGCTCCTGGGAATCAGTGGACCCTTTAAGAGGTAGAGACTAGTGGAATGTCCGTAGTTCATGTGGGGATGGCTTTGAAGTGAAGTGGGAGACAAGTCTTCCTCTCTCTCGCTTCCTGGCCAGGAAGTAAGAGCTTTGTTTTGCCCTGTGCACTCGCTATAATGTGCTGCCCTGACAGATGCCAAAAGCAGTGGAGTTATCTTGTCTTAAAATGGAACCTCCAGAACAAAGAGCCAAAATAAGTCTTTTCTCTTTATAACTTAAATGATTCAGATATTTTAATAAACTATCAGGACGCTAACATAATGTCCACTCATAATAACATTCTGAGTGATTATTAGAACATGTATCGGGGCCAGTGTAGTTTCCAGCACTTTCAGGTCAGCCCCGACCTGTGTTGGCCGCCCTCTTTTTGGCACTGTTCCTGCTGTTGCTAGTGTGGTTGATATTATCTGCAGCCTGCGTTGATAATAGCAGAGAGGGTATTAAGGAGATGGTCAAGCTCTTGTTTCTGTGGTGGATTTGCTGTATGTTGTCATCCTTCTGACATTTTTTCTCTTTCTGTAAAACACCAATGACAAATATCCAAATCTACCTAATATTGTGAAATTCAAATCAATGAGGATTTGAGAAAGTATTTTTGAAAACTGTGTAATATTGAGTAATAATACTATCATCAGCTTCCTTTGTCAATTCTGTGGTAGGATTTACCCATCAGTTCAGACCTTAACAAATGTTATGATGATGAAATGAACTACAATTTAAAGAGGAAAACTGGGAAATGTCTGAATTTAGTTTTCTGTTAGTCAAATTAGATTTTTCCACTGACAGTAAATTATGGATGAAAATCATGATCCAAATTTTTCATCTCTTCTAAGTTCACTAGAAATTATCTCAAGAAAAATGATCCCAATATACCAGTGCATATCTTCTAACAGAACAAACCATGTGAAACATTTAGAATTTTTCTAATAAAAGAGCTCCAGGCAAGTCAACTGACATGTTGTGAAATGTCCTCCTGTGGGATTTTATCTGCACGAGATAGCGTATGGTGCCCTCTGAAGCCAGGCTGGCTTTTAAAAAGCCACTGATAGGAGCAGGAGACTGACCTTGCCAAGTAAAAGGTAAAAGGACACTCTGTATCCCAAAGCCAGCTTCAGTTGACCACTTCAGGAAAGCTACTCTGACTGACTGGAAACTGAGAGGTTTTTTTTTTTTTTTAAAAATGCAATTTCATATTAAACTAACTTATGTTTTCTGTTTCTTCATGGATGACTTTTACTCTTCGTATTTCTTTCTGGATGATGACAACATGTTCTTTATCCACATAAAATGGTTTCCATGCCAGTGAGTGAGTTTTTGTTTTTAAAACATCAGATCATTTAGTCATTTATTCTTGTTTCTTATTTCATAATTGTCTGCTGACTCAGCAGTGAGTGCTTGCTGTTACTCACTTTTTCTGTCTGATGGGAAACATTTTTAATTTGAACTCCGTATGCTCCCCGACTGGTGAGGTGCTGTTATTCTTCGGAGTCTACATATGGATGTGTGCATCCCTCGCTGTTTCCTGTAAGTGGAGGCTGAAAGGGGTCCACAGGGCCTCCTTGTCAGGGTGCTGCCTAGGGACTCTGCCAGCAATGAGCGGTAAATTTCATCCCACAAATGTGCATGTCTCTTAAGCAGAGCTGGCCGTAGTGTCTCTGTGCACGTCACATTCATTGTTCAGGACAGGAATGTTCCGTCCGTGACACTATTTAAGTTTTCCATCAGTAACACTGTAAAGTAGGAAGACACATAAGCAGATGTAGGTAGATAGCTTGATAGATTTGTGCATTTTTAACTGAAAAGATATTAATAATAATAAATCCTTGAGAGGATTTATAAAAACTTCAGCGTGTATCTGCATATCTCCTTTATTTAAATGGTAATTTGCCTCACTGTTGATAGTGCCAAGTTTTATTGAGATGACAGATTTGAAGTTTATGAATGAAAGGAGCCATTATGAAAAGGCACAGCTACATTTGTGCAAACCCAGGTATTTCCTGCATTGTGTGATCTCCCAAAGTGTCCCCCGCAGTCTTCCAATAGGAAGCCAAACAGTCAAAAAGATTTAGAGCTTTGTGTTTTACTTTGAGTTACCCATTCTGTTTTAAATGTTAGCTATAATAAACAATTTAAAACTAATTATGCCAAACGTGTTCTGCATCCTCAGGTAGGTACATCCTTGTCTGTGACAGCACACCACTCTGCTGGCCTACAAATGGAGAACCAGAGCTTGGTGGTAAAACCAACAGTTTTTTCTGTTTTGCTCTTACAGACTTTAGCCAGAGCAAGTAATTTAGCCTTTCCACACTGATTTTTTTTTCTTCTTAAGTACTGGAAATATCATGTCCTTATTAAGGCTGTTAGGAGAATAAAAAGGAAATTATCGTGTGAAAATGCATGAAGTATTCTGTCTTAGTTTATGCACTAATGTGTCAGCCCTGAAAGAAGAGCTTGAATCTCATTGGTTCTTGAAGTTGTCGTGCTTTTAAATAATCAGTGTCTTCATTCCTGAAACTCTTTGCCAGCGTAATTTCCAGATCATTCCTGGTTGTCAGTGTTTATAGAAGCACTCCACAACTTGCTTTGATGGCACATTTTAAGACTGGTAGTTTATTCAGGTTGGTTTATATACCATCATTGCACTTCAGTAAGTTTCCACTGTCAGTGTGCCCATATTTACTCTCTAGGTTACATTTGTTCCTGAGCAAGGAAGTCAGCACCTAGACAAGGATCCAAAAATCTGCCTATATTGTCTGAGATTCTCCCTGTTCCTGTCAAGGAAATAGCTATTTTGATAAGTTTCCCAATCACATTCTTAACTTTCCCAACAACTTTCTGAAAATCAATGTGACTTACCAATATTCTGCTTCTCCTGAGATGCCACCGTCTGACTTTGAATTACAAATCATCTGTTTGTTTCCTTTTCTGTAAGATACGTTAAGAAAGATTCTTAACCCATCTGCCTGGTTAGTAGATGTTTCCTAAGAATTAATGAGATGCTGGTGTTTTCTCCTGGTACTCTGCAGGCTGGGTGTTTTGATGGTTCAGCAGACATCAGTCTGTTGAAACTTGTCGGTGCCAAAACTCTTAGGCATTGACTGGAATATGGTCACTTTGGCGAGAATCCTAGCTATAAGTGTCAAATCCAAGATTTTGTGTCTCTGTTTATCACAGAAGGGAAATGCGGGGGATGAAGAACATTGTTTGGAAGCCTGAACATAAATTTATAGAGTTTTAATAATATGTGCCTTCTTTTTTTTAATTTTTAAAAAGCAAAACAGAAATAATACAGAATTTCAAAAAAATAACAGTGAGAAATCAACACTGGTTAATATATTACATATTATTATCCCAGAAGTAGTTGTTCAAGTTATAAGATCAAAGCATTAAAAATGAGCAGACAAACAATGACAGCACAAACCATTCTTTCTGATGAACTAAGAGAGTTAGTGGTGTAGTTATGTTTTGCACACGTAAACACATACAGTTATATGTGT